GACCGACCGACCGACAGACAGACCGACCGACAAACAGACACACACACACACACATGTACACAGAGAGTTTATGAACCCGGCAATGCGATCAAGGATCATTTTCAGAAGATGAGCCGCATGCTTCTTTATTTCAGCTATCATGCACGATCTGACTCGTTGCACATTGACTACTTCGAACATCACCCAAAATTCCGTCTAGGGGCCGACTGCTTGAGGTTTGGGCATCGCTCTGGGCTCCACTTAACTTCCCTGCTGCTCAAGATACCAAGAGGGGTTTTGGGTTCTGGTTGGACTGTGGCTTGGTTAGTAGCATGTCCTCTCCAACTCACCAATAATCGTTCCGGCGAGCATCCGAAAGCACAGAGTTGCCAGCGCCCATGGACCTTGCACTGTGGCGGTCAGCAGCGAGGTCGCAGCCACCCTTCGTCCGAGTTTGGGGCGTGGCTTGAGAGATTTGGAGTGGCTGAAAGACGAGGGTGGAAGACAGTGGAGGAGCCTTCGCTCCGAGAGACAGCGGCGGTTTATGTCGCATCGTCCTCTTAAGCTGGGCCACGTGTCCAGCCGCAGCCCAACAGATTCTGCGCGGCGTGAGAGTTCCTTGGCCGCTTCAGGGAAGGGAAGTGTACAAAAGGGTCATGATGCAGACGTATGCAAGGGTATAGCGTCCAGGCACGGCTTGGCGAATATTATCACATGCCGTTTCAGCATACACAAGTGAGCACACACACTTTTGAAATACTGGGAATGACTTCCATTCTCGCTCTGCTTGTGATCTACATTCTGGACTATAGCCAATCATGGAATTTCTCTGAAGCCTCCTCTTTGTGTTCCAGCCAAGACCGATGGCCTTCAGAACGATTCTGTCTTGTAGCACTCGCCCTCTTGATCTGATGTCACAGGACGTACAAACCGAACAGCGACCGAAATGCTAAGCTGCTAGGCATGTGTAGAGATAGAGGCCAAGGTAAATTGAGTACATCGATTCACATAGATCTTGGTCACAAACTCCTTTGCGATGCTTACCTTGGGGCACATGATAGAAGGAATGATTATGAATGCTCTTATGACGATGATGATAGTCATGGCGATGACGTATCTGACACTGATGCTGACGATGATGCGTGTCATGACGCTGGTGGGGCCCCGCCTGAGGGCTACGCGTCAGAGCTGTCCAACTCTCAGAAGAAATTCACCGGTGGCTTCAACCTCGCAGCTTGCCGAGCTGCCAAAGCCTCCTTCCAAAGTCCACGACGGCTGAGCTGGGAGATGGATCCAGTCAGCCGAGGCAAAGCAGTGAAAACCGAGGAAGCCTCCCGGGGCTTTTCGATTTGTTTTGTCAATGATTGAAGATAGTTTCTTGGATATGCAGGGCAATGTAGGGCCTGAGGTTTTCGGGGTGATGTCTAGAAATGAGGGCTGTGAATAATGTTTGGTGGTGGGGGCCTTCCTTGTTCGGGGTTCAAAGGTGTTGTGGAAATGAAACCGTACCGACCAACTGTACCCACACCAACTGTTGGGTGCCGACACGAACTGTACGACCAGCTGTGTCAACTGTCATTGTACCACAATCGATTCTGCCAATTGTACCGAATTTTCATGGTTGGCATGGGACAGTTTATCCGAGTACAGTACGTGTCGTAGTGGTGTAGGAGCATTGGCCAAAGGTCTAACCACCTGTACAACTGGACCAGCACCAACTGTTGAGACGAACTGTACGAAGCACAGATTTTACTTTGCAACTGTCAATGTACCTGCACCAAGGCCGACTGTGCCAATGTTCCAAAACCAACTGTACGACAAGTGCTAACAGGAACTGTGTCTACACCAATTGCACCAACACGAATAGTGCGAAACTGTACCACCAGCAACTGTACAAAACGAACTGACCGATTCCAATGCTCAATCACTGTGTCAACTGTACCAACCAGTAGTACCACGCAAACTGAACCGGTACCAATTATACAGATAAGTTGCCGATGTTCCTACGCCAACTGTTAAGACGGACAATTATTCGTTTCGCCAGTTGCTACTGGTACAGTTAGGCACAATTCTTGGTAAACTTGGTGTCGATACAGGTGGTGTTGGTACAGTTTGTTGTTCGTTTAGCAGCAATAGAATCAAAGAGGAGAAATGGAAGACCACATTGAGGTTAACATGGGAGGCCAAATGGAAGGGATGGAGGTCATGTTGAAGGCAAGTCCCGAGGCAAATGCATTTGCACTTGAGTCGCAGATAGGCTTGCGGGCTCAAGGCCCTTTCATATGATGTAGTGTAAGGCCTGTGGGTCATTTAAGGGTTTATCGCATCTGTCTGCACGAGTTTGTGCAGATTGAAACAACAATCTCCGTGTTTTAAGATACTTCGGGTATAAGAACTAAAAACTGTTTCTTCTAAGGACTTTGGGAGTTGGGTTTGGGTATGAGGATTTTAAGCTCCCTAGACGAGGCTTTGGGAGTTTGCGCGTATAGGATTTAAGAATTTAATCCTCCACAACAAATTCCAGGCTGCGTCTCCATTTTTGCAGCAAGTCAGCAAGCGTGTACTTTTGCTTCAATTCAACAGGAGCCGAGATTCTGCGACCTATGAAATCTGCGTTTGGCCTCCTCCATCGGCTTCGGGTTGGTTTGTTGCGCGCCGGCACCTCGCTGCATGCTTGTGATAATGACATAGCAGCACCAGCCAGTGTCACAGTCCATTCTTCTGCAGCGCTTCTGCTAAGTTGCAGCCAATGATATTGTCAGCAACACCACGGCGACCATCATCGCCATCACTGTGACCTGCATCATCATCAACATCCTCCTCCTCCTCCTCCTCGTCCTCCTCCTCTTCCTCATCAACATCATCACCCTCCTCATCATCATCATCATCTTCCTCGTCATCATCAACCTCATCATCATCCCCTTCGTCGTCGTCGTCCTCCTCCTCATGAGGGCCATCATTATCATCATCATCATCAGTTTCGTCTTCGTCGTCATCAAGTTTCGTCTTCGTCATAGTCATCGTCGTCATGATCATCATTACCATCATCATTGCTGCTGTCATCCTTCGTCATCATTAAAATCATCGGCAGCATCTTCATCCTCCGCCCCCCGATGGCTAGATGTTAACACTCTAGCGGCTGCAACTCACAACACAACACTAGAACTACAATGCTCCTGGGACTGATACACAACAAAGCTTCACAATGAAAGGAATAAGAACTACGGAGGAACAGAACAACCACAGCCCAATGCTGGAAATGCTGTATTCAGGCGTTGTCCCACACGCGATTTTAGTAGTGGTGGTGGTAGTAGTAGTAGTAGTAGTAGTATAGTAGTAATAGTAGTAGTAGTAGTAGTAGTAGTAGTAGTAGTAGTAGTAGATAGTAGTTATAGACGGAGAGCACTGCAGGACGGTCTCGACAACTTTCCACTCTTCACTCAGTTCGAAACAAGTGCAA